ATATTATACATGAGATCACATTATACATGAATAAATACGGTATGTTGAAAATTTTAAAGAATTTTGTTTTAGTTCAGTTTGAAAACTAAGTCCTAGCTGACATATCTCGAACAAGCTGAATGTTTTTAAACCTTGAAGGGTTAAAACGTTTGAATCAGATTCAATCTTCTTACTAACTTAAGTTGAACAAAAACATGCTTTTAGGGCTTTCTATAATCTGTTAGCAAAATATCTCATGAACCATTGGAAAAACTTTTAAAAAACCACTGGGCGTAATATTTAGAACTGAATAACTGGATTAAAGATGGCTGCTGCAACTAACCAACCCTAAAAACCCAAGAATAAATGTAATTAAATCAGTTTTACAGCTATTTCACTCAAACCTGATTTGATAGTAGCTGACGTTTGACCAAATCAAGAACGATTGTCTCAACAGAAGATGATCTTTGGGTGTGAGCGGTGGTGGGCGATGTGCATTCCTTTAAGTCATTCTAAATCATTATTTTTCCTTTTTTCATCTTTTAACACAGAACAAATATGTTTGATTTAATCTGATTTTGTTCCTGTTAAGGGAGAAGAGTAAAAGTATTGACGTGGACGAGGTCAGCAGAGACATTTCTGCAGCAAACAGAGCTGTAACGGAAGCTAAAGACAACCTGACAGCAGCTGAACAGGACAGAGACCAGGCCCAAGACCAAATCACAGATGTAAACTAAAAATCTTTGTGACGGCAGCCCAGCCTGACGACCTGTTCCTGATTCTGTCATCACATGCTTGTTRTACCACATTTCAGGTTGAAGAGAAACTGGACCTCATGGAGAAAAAACTGCCGAAGCAGCCTGAAGATCTGCTGAAAGACATCGAAAGTCTGAGAAATAAAACTGAACTGAACAGAGAGACGGCCAGAGAGTCCAGGGAGGCAGCAGGCTTTGCTAAAAACATGACTGACCAAATGGTAAAATCTGAAGATTGRATAACTGAAAGTTCATTTATTATCACCTAAAAATGATGTTCTTGTYCATGTGTTCATGTGTYTGTTAGCAAAATATCTCATATGCCACCAGACTGTTTTTACAGAAYGTACATCTACATCTGATTCACTTTTAGGTTCAACCCCGTTCTAAATGGCCACCGCCGCTAACTAGCATTAGCCAAAACAAAAATAGCTACAAMTGAGTCRCTGTTGAAGATACTGAACTCAAGTCTGAATCTGTATGAGCTAATTGTCCTTGTTCCATCTGTCCGTCAGGATCTGCAGGACGTCGTGACCCAGTTTGAGGTTTTAAAAGAAAAACACACAAATCACACATCTGAGAACGAAGCTGCAGATCAAGTGAAGCGGATCTTGAAGGAGGCTGAAGAACTGCAGAGACAAGTGGAGGAGAAACTCCAACAGATGACAGGTCTGAGAGGTTCACTGTTTTATATTCAGGCAGACCTAAAGCATCTGTGATCATAATAATAAAAATGTGTGTGTTAGCAAAATATCTCATGAACCACTGGACATACAGTATTTTAATGAAACTCAATGTAAATAAAAAAGATGTGTAAA